ACTGATTTAAATAAGAAAGGAAAAGTTAAGTTATCCAATATCTCAGCTTAGGAGGCTTTCTCATCAGAATTTATGAAGAGGACCTGTTAAGCAAAGATATCATTAAAAACAACAAAAAAAACCAAAAACAAACAACAACTTAACATATAATAATGCCAATAAAAAGTGGAACTCTCCACATGTAAGTTAAACTTTTCCATTCTCAATTAATTATGTCCTGGGATAAAACAGCTGCATTTTCACAAAAAGGCAGAGAAAAAAATTTAAATAAACAATTTAAACAATTTTATAACCTCAATAACAAAAGCCTCAAGCCAAAATCTTATATGCAATACCAATAGTTCAATGAATTACTCACTTGAAAATATAGACAATTCCACCTAAAATCTATAAACTGATTTACAGTTTACAAAAGGCTTTTATAGAAATAACATCAGTTGCTCCTCAAAAACCTCTTGAGAGTTGAGAAGAATAAGTGCATTCATGTGAAACATAAGAAAACTACAGCTAAGAAAATGTAGAAGATTTGCCAAAACTGATCTAAGTTATTGATGGTAAACCTAGTACCCTCCCCTTATCTGTGCAGGATACGTTTTCCAAGACCCCTCCAGTGGATGTTTGAAACCTCTGACAGGACCAAGCCCTATACGTATACACTATGCTTTTTCCTATATGTACATAACTATGATAAACTTTAAACTATAAATTAGGCCCAGTAAGAGATTAATAACTAATGATCAAATAGAACTATAACAATATACTGTAATAAAGTTATGTGAACATGATGGTCTCTCTCAAAATATCTGATAACCAAGCTGATAACTGAGAGCATATGTACAGCATGGAGATGCTGGACACAGGGGTGACTCACATCTTGGGCAGGACAGAGTGGGACAGCGTGAGATCTTATATGCTACTCAGAACGGAGTGCAATTTAACACTTAAAAATTGCTGAATTCTGAAACTTTCCATTTAATACAGAGGGTGCCAAAAATATGTACACACATTTTAAGAAAGAAAAACTGTATTAAAATTATAATAATATATTTTGGTAACAAAAGATGAATACAAGTCACGTTTGACTTCTGCAATTACAAGAGGTGCTCAAAGTGGTCCCCATCAGCGTCCAGACACTTTTGATTACAGCGAACTACTGGTTGAGCAACGCTGATCAAAGTGTCCACCTTGTACACATTTTTTGGGCACCCATGGTATTTTTGGACCACGGTTGACCTTGGGTAACTCAAACTGTGGAAAGCAAAACCGCAGATAAGAGGGGAATACTACATTATATAAATACAAGTCTCCTAATTCCACAAATTCTGCTTTTCTTCTACATTGCATAGTAATATTGTCACAAGTTTTATTTACATTAAGAGAATATAAGTATAGAGATATTTTTACTTTAGTTTTCTATTATTGTGGTACAATATATATTACAAAATTTACAATTTTTAAGTGTATAATTCAGTGGCATTAAGTAGATCTGCAATGCCATGCAACCATCACTATTATCTATTTCCAGAATTTTTCATTGGATGTATTTTTTACAATGTTAAGAAAAGCAGCAATTCATAGCAGTCATTTATTCCCAATCTTGAGAATTAACTTTATATTAAAGTTTCTATTATAACTAGTTTATTTATTTTCAAGGTGAGCTATCCAACAATAAAAATTAGAATAATCTAGCAGAGCTCTTTTATTATATAAAAGCTAAATTTATTTCCATTTGTTTTTAATTACAAATCAAACTTCTTTAATTGAAATCTACTTGATCAACTCCCTGGACGATTAACAAAGACTTCTTTAAAATATTCTGACTGATGTCAACAATAGTCTGTATACTGAGTCCAGTAGACAACTTTATAATAAAATCCACACTTTGCTTTTGCCAGGTTAAGTTTCAGCTTTAGCTAGCATCAGGTATGTTTATTCCCAAAGCATTTATGCCAAATACATCTGTAGTTATAATTATGAGATTTAATAAAATATTATACAAGGCAGTGCTTTTATCCACACACACAAAAAAAAGATTTTATTTCTATAAAATTAATTTGAATGTTTTGAAGGCATTCGATATAACAGTTTGCTAAAAACACCTACAGTCAAATTAGGCCAAGGTAAGAAAACAGTTAAACATGAGAAAAACACAAAAAATTGACAATTATGTATGTACATTGTTCTGCAAGTGAGGTGGAAAGAAGATTTTAAATATGAGAGGTCAGGGACAGCCTCTGATAAAGTGTATGTTAGTAAATTCTTGGATGAAGTGTGGGAGCAACTCATTCAAATATCTAAGAGAGTCTTGGGAGGAAGATGTTAAGTGCCAATATTCTTAAGTACGAAGCATGAGTGTGCTTAAAATGTTTGAGGAAAACGGTAAGAAAGCCCTGTGCTTAGAGCAGTGAAGAAGGAGTGTGTCAGGAGATGAGATGAGAGAAGCAGCCACAGGCCATCACACAGTCCTTTAAGGGCCATACCAAAGACACTGCCTTTTATTTTGAGATGGTAAACCATTAGTAGGTTCTGGGCAGAGCAGCACATGTTTCGGGAAGATCTCTCTACCTGCTGCGTAGGCAAAGACTGTGCAGAGGAAGAAGTGGAAGCAGAAAATCCAATAACAGGCTACTGAGGATCCACACATGTGACATGAGGGCTTAGACAACTGTAGTTGTATGGAGGTGGTGACAAATGGTCAATTTTGGATATCCACAGAAAGTAGAATTGAGAGGTTATTATCAATGAAGGAAAAAAGTATTATAAAAACAAAAACCAATAAAGATCAGACTGACATAAAATTTAAAGTATCAAAGCATTAAAAAGGACTAGTCTGTAACTTTAGGTAAAAACAGCCACCTAAATATGTAGCACCCTAGTTATTTTTAAAAAGCTGCACAAAAGGTATCATGGCTTCTGACAAATAGTGTACAGCCATGGTTTACTTTATTACAGGGCTGTTTTCAACCTTGAAAGTTTAATTAACAAAGATTATATTGAGTCTCCTTAAGAGAATATTTATATTAAAACTAAAGANTTATTAGCCTTATTGATTCACTAAGAGGATCTCCTGAGAAAGTTTTTTAATAAGTCCTTAAAGTCAGTAAAAAGCATTTTTGTTATCATCCTATATACAAATACTCATATAACAAACACCAAAAGTGAGAAAGTATGGTACAATTATCACGAGATACATTTAAAATAAAGATGATCATCCTTACCTTGCTCTTGAATTCTCCATTAAAAGCAAACTGGTTTTCTGGTTTTCCATCTGGCACCTTATACAATCGAAACCAATTAAGCGTAGCTTCCAAATAACCTGGTTTGTACTTCTTAACATCATCAATATCTGTAAGCGAAGAAACAAAAGGACCTTACGTTAAAAATCAAAATTCCTATTAGTGGTAGAGCATTGGACGGAGCAAGCCAGAGGATATGGGTTCTGGTCCAACTCTGCTAACCGGCAGCACAACATGTGTCCCATCACTGCTGGACTTCTGCTTTTGCGTATGTAAGTATTACTCCTTCGTTCTGCTCTTGTGAGCACCTTCTGACACTGTATTAGGTACAGTAGATAAAGAGAAGATGGCAACCAAGTTCTTCTTCCTCAAGGAACTCAGAGGTCTAATTAAAGGAAACAAATACACAACAAAGTAAGATGTGCTTCAGGCCTATGTTATTCTGTGAGCGATGGAGGGCTTAGAGTAGGCGAAGTTATTACAACATCGGGATAAGTGCTTTAGAAATAGTAAGCTAAAAGAACACTGATTACGGAATGAAGAGGGCAGTAACCAGAAGAGAACACACTAAAGCTGAATGAGAAATATACGTGTTTATGCACATATGTACCAAATATTTAGCAGAGCTTCTCATTCATTTTGTGTCAGACACTGTTCAAAGCAGGGAAATGGGACAGTAAAGAAAACGAGTCCCTGCTCTCATGGCTTACACAGTAGAAAAGACAGGCAACAAATAAACACATACTACGTAAGGTGGTGAAAAGAGCTATAACAGAAAACAAAGCAGAGTAAGAAAGAGAATGCAGACACGGCAATTTTAAACAGGGTGATACCTGGATGGTTCAGTATTTAATTTCAAAATCTGTAATGATTTACAGGATTTATTTTTAAGTCCTACTACCACATAAACAGTTTAACCATTGTATTTTCAGGACATACATTTAAATATAATTCGAAATATTACTGAATTAATAATAGACCCCCTCCCCTAAAAGGTTCCCAGGGAATTTATCCTTTCCAACAGATATCAATTCAGAAAGTATGAGAAATAACTAGGTAAAACTAGAAGTCTTTACTCTCCACCACACTGTGGCTTAAGGCTTAATTTAGCATTACTCTTTATACACAATATATTACGGCAAATGACATACAGACTTGGTAGCACTTGAAAAATTACAGTTATAACTAAAAACAGGAGAAGACAACCATGTGTGGGGATAATTTAAAGATCATATGGTCTCAGGCTTGCTTCTCCAAGCTTGTGGGAATCCCTCCACTCACTAGGCATGACGGGAAAAGGTAATAAGCATTTTGCAGGCATGGGTTAAACAGACAGGAATTATCCTTCTGCTGCTTTTCATGCTTGCCTTTTGCCTGTTATATAATGATTTAGAAAGAGTTACATATGCCTCCAGAGGCCAGATGTTTCATAAAGTGAAGTGAGTGTGGGAAGGCAGACACCATAGGAAGAGCAGAGCCCACGGCAAACAAAAGATTGAGTGTGCTGTCTGAAGGCGCTCGAATTAAACATTTTACAATATGTCAATGGGCCATATTATCTATCTACAGTAATCCTGGGGCAAACAAGCAGAAACATTACAACTAACTAAGGGGAAAAGAAAAACTTGAAACTGACCACAGGCTACTTTTGCTCTATTAATGATAGTCAATACATTTTTATTGAGTCAATGATGGAAGATGTTTATGATAGTGAATTACTTTTTAGTATTATACATCACATTGTAGGTTACAGAAGTCTTTGTCATGCCCCAAATAGAACATTTGGCAAATATTTCACCTAATACATGCTGTTTCCTCTTCAAATTCTGATAATTTTTTCTGCTTATCTTACTAAAAGAGCTTCTTTCCAAGGTGAGCTTTCTGTGGCTCATTTTCTTACACCCTATCTCTATTTTGGCAAAAAATACTCTATAAATTAACTGAGTTCCTCCAACTCAGTTTTCTTATTCAGAGGGAGAAAATAATATTTTAGTCCATGGAAG